CCACACAAACGTGTACCCTGCTCGCGGCCCCCGCTTGGATTAGATCTATTTCACTTAAGTTGCTATCTCTATATTTCTGCATATTTCCGAACAATTACTATAATTATAATTTAAATTAAAGCCCATCTACTAGCTCGCGGCCCCCGCTTGGATTAGATCTATTTCACTTAAGTTGCTATCTCTATATTTCTGCATATTTCCGAACAATTACTATAATTATAATTTAAATTAAAGCCCATCTACTAGCGTGCCTTTCGGGCTTAACATTTCATTCAATATTTTAGGCAAAATGTACTCGGGCTCATAAATCAATGCCAAACAACATGCTTGGCTTTGGTGTGGAGCGGGTTGGGTTGGTGTGTTGGGGTTATGGTAGTGGGGGAACGGAGGAACGGGGGAAGGGGGGTGTGGCCCATATGAATACTGAATACTCAAGTGTCTCGACGCAACAAATGGGACAAATTTCCATTTCTATCCAATGCCGCATAAATGGCAAATAATTTACGATACGATATGAGGCAGCAGCACAGCAGAGAGCAGAGCTAACCAAACATGCAGCTAACCGTCCAAAATGCTGCTAACAATATTAGTTAGCGTGTGGCAGCAACAACAGTAGCAGCAACAGCAACAGCAACAGCAACAAACATGAATAGCAGGAACAACAAGTACGTTAGAAGCAGTCAGTAAAGTTTACATTTATGTGTGTGGCTGTGTGTGTGTTTGTTTTTGGGCCGGCGTCAATGTGTGAAGTAATTAATTACAAACCAACTGATGTGAATCTCTATATATGTATGTATATTTATATATATATATATGTATTTATGTGTGTGTGTGTGCCAAGTTTTCGTGTGCTTTGGGTGTTGGATTATGATGCATGATCATGTATTCATATATGTTGCGTATTGTCACACGCACACTTGCCCACATCACGCACCCACACACACACACACACTTATATATATATACATATACATTCGCATACACTGGGGAATGTATCGTTATCTGGGTTTAGGTTTAGGTGGGGTTTGGTGTAACCGAAATTGGATTGATTTACACATCAGGTGAGAAATGAACGCGTCGGAAAACCCAGATGCATTTCATTAATTACCATTCCAAGATGAAAAGAGAGTGTTGCGCGTAGGGGCTTTATCTCTTATTATCTCTCTCTCTCTATCTCTCTCTCTCTCTCTCTCTCTCACTCTCTCTCTCTCTCTCTCTGCGTATGAGGATGTCATAATTGTAACGACCCCAAAATCTTCGAGCTAATGGTTCAAATTGAATGTCAAAGAATTTACTTTATGCTTATATATTTTCATAAGTTTTTATGCGAAATAAATCTAAAATATTTTGTCTTAAAGTGACGAGCTTAATAGTATAGTAAATAGTAAAAGCTGATGTGAAGTAAAGTAAATATGGAATATTATGCGATAAGGGATTATCTCATTTAATCTAATTTCAGTCTTAAAACTTGAGAGTTTCTGTTGAAGAGTTTGAACATTTTATTTAATTTTCTTTTACGGCTATCAATTTCCTGTCCAATTAAAAATATCACTTGTCTTATTCTGAGAAAAAGCCAAAAAAAGTTATGAAAACAAATTGAAAAAGCAGCTCTGGTAATTAATAATGCAATCACATTATGCCTAAATCAATTCCATTACATCAATTGAGGCAACGCGCCCCACATCGTTCATAACGCCGAAGCACAGTCCGGGCCAAATAAATACGTACAGATGAGCATATACATATCTCATTAGCACGACAACTGTGGGTGTTGTCTTTTGAGTGCTAATTATATTCATCAGTGTCATGAGCAATTCGATTTAAAATGGCGGATGTGGGCTTCAAGGATATTTATGAATGCCACACACGACATATATACAATACACCCACACACACACACAGACACACGCACACCGTTGTCTTAAAAAATGTGGGGAAAGGAAGAAAAAAAGTTGTCACGGCTGCGGATCGCTGCGTGCGGGCAGCAAATATCTGCGGGTGTGTGTGTGTGTGCGGGTGTGTGTGTGTGTGTGTGTGCGGGTGTGTGTATGTGCTTAGGGGGGCAGGGAGGGTACACATTTAAATTAATCACAGTAAAAGTGAATTGCCCAAAACAATGTAATATCCCGTTCAAGGGCCCCTGGGAGCTCAGGATGGATGGTTGGCTATGTGGAGGAGGGTTGGCAGGGTAGTGGGACTGGCAAACAAACAAAAATCTGGGAATGCCTATGCCAGCAAACCCCATAGAGCCCCAGACCCGACTCCGTGACGAAACCAAACCAAAACTGTCACCGTATGTGTGTGTGTGTTAGTTCAAATGCGGCATGTATGTGTGTGTGTGTGTGTGTGTGTGTGTGTGTGTGCGTGCGGTTGCTCAAATTAAAACAAAGTGTCGTGCGTTTGATGAAAATGTAACGCGCTTTTGCTGCTGCTGCCGATGTTGCTGCTGCTGCTGCTGTTGCTGTTGCCAATGCGAGCGAATGCCAGCGTCGCTGTCAGCGTCGCACATAAATGCTAATTGGCTTAAATGTGCGTGCGTTTATTCATGTGTGTGTGTGTGTGTGGGTGTCCTTTGGGTAAGCTTTTTCTATAAGCGCCCAAAAGCGGCGGCAGCGGCTTCGTTGGCGGTAACTGCGGCGGGCTCCACACATTTTCAGGTGTTCAAACTAAAACATTTTATAGTTTGGTTAATTGTCAAAGCTGTGCGGCAGCCAGAGCAAAAAAAAAATAAACAGAAAATCGTAGAGTGGGCTTGCCCCAAACCTTTTATGGCTTAATTATTCGACGGTTTTTGTGGCAGCGTCGGGTTGGTTATTGAGTACGACAACAACATGAACATGAAAATTGACACAAAGACACAGCACAGAGACAGAAGTTAGACACGGTACATATAAGTACATGGCCGTAGTTAAAGGAAACACCTTGCTCCATTTAAGGCTGATGCTGAAAATAACATAAAGTTTTATGTAATAATAAGGAATAGAAAAACCAGTGACAACAATTGAGAAATGAAGGACGATGGCCTGAGACATCAGGTCTCCGAATAGCCAAATACCTTTTAAAAAGACTCCAAATATTCAGAAGTTTGTTGATAAGGTCACTGTAGACTGAGAGATCAACTAGCTAAAACAGGTACAAACAGTAGCCGAATCTGCCAATTTCATGACAATGATTGGGAATCCTCAAAGTACATCATGGCAGATTACCAGAAGAAGGTTGTTTTAAGCTCGGAAGATATAGAAATCCTCAATCCGACTTTAATTCGTGCAAAAGTGAGAGTTGATTTAGGAATTATGGCTGCAAAAGGGTCAAACGAGGTCGCAGACATGAAGTCAAGACAAATTTAACTAAGTTCTACAATTGCTTGACTGTTTTGCAGTTGACAAGCTGAGCTGATATAACTGTTAATTTATTACTTATTATAAATTCGAAGTATATAATTAAACCTTCTATTTTGGATGCTCTTTACATTATTCTGGAGATTTATGATATTGGGTTACACCTCTTTGAAACACACAAGTTTCGCAAAAAGAAAAGCATTTTAGTATTTAAATTTCTACTTTGTTTTGTCTTACTTTTTACACCCTGAAGTTATACAATCTGGGATTAAAGAGAATATTTTAGTTGCCTGAAATTATGTAGAATGCAGAGTTGGACGCAGTAGCAGGGCAATATGAGTATTAAATATAATTTTATATAATAGTAGATTTAATTCTTTTTGAAGGCATATTTGAGGGCAGAAGCAGTCAAGATATATTAATATATTTTGCATAATTTAATTATTGAGCAATAAAGGGGTATATCTTGACCCCTCCAACTACAACTACCTCAAAGCCCAGCTACGCTCATGAATGATTGGCATAAAAAGCACAAAAAAAGAAGAGAATGCACATAAAACAGCGAAAGGAGCGCCAAAAGTTGTATTCTTGTTATGAGCGGTGGGGTGAGGGAATTGGGAAGGGAGGTGGGTGTGGGTGTGGGAGTGGGCTGGTGAGTGAAAATTGAAAACAAGTGAAATAAAGTGATTTGACGCTAGAGAAGAGAGATTTTGTGCGTACGCGAGCATTTCCTTTTCATCGAATTGAATCTTTTGGCTTTTGTGCGCCGGCCGCAATTCGATGGGGATTTTTATGTTTATTTGCCACCACTCCATTACGACTTGGATGCTCTTTAGCAGACAATCAACATTGTTGTTGTTACTGTTGTTGTTGCCATTACTACTATCCTCTTGCTGACAGTTGTTGTTGTTGTTTCTGGCTAGGAGTGCGTTTCATTGTGGGCCCGTGCAAAAATGCAAATTAGAAGTGGAATGAAGCAAATGAATGACTGAATGAATGATTGCTGTGAGCTTTTTGTTTGCTCGAGAATTGTCTACACTCTGATAAATAGCAAACGCTTGGCCTGGCTTACAGCTATCCCCGCCCGTCATATATGCCATAATTTATGCAAATTAATTTATAAAATGAAAAAAGTTAAAAAGAAAAATACAACGAGAGAGACAGAGAGAGAGAGAGAGTGAGAGAGAGAGGGGGAGTGAGTGTAAGTATGAGAAGGCTGTTCTATATGGCCATAGACATATTTCACGCAAGTGCGACAATTTTCGCGCTTATGGCCAGCGGAAAGTACATAAATATAGTGCGGCCTTAAAGTAGACTCATTTATATGGCTTTATGCGCAATTTCAGCTCGCTGACATTTATGATGTATTGTAATATATATGAGTAACTACGTATGTGTGTATATATGTATGTGTTTATGTAAATGTATGTGTGTGAGTGTGTTGTTATAGCAACTGACAAGCGTCTGACGAATGACTGGCTGACTCAGTGACTAAGCTTACTAGCTCTGCCCGGGGCATCAGACATGTATAATATTTACCTGTTTCATATTTACATGATAAGGTTACATCTTTATCTGGTCTGACAGAAAAAAAATAAAATAAAATAGTAGGCGGCACATTAAATTCTAAACATGTATGCAACAAAATCGACAAACATTTCATTTTTAGCTTGTTGTCTTTGTTTAAGTGTCCCAAAAGAGAAAATATCAAATAAATCAAATAAAAAATGCCGGAGAACCAAGCACCAAGCACATCAAAGCCAAATCCAAACCCAAATCCAAAGCCAAATCCAAAGCCTGTAAGCAAAGTGAGCAAACCGACCAAGGATGCAAAAACCGGTACACCGGCTCTGGATGTACGTAATCCACTGCCGAATACTCACGATAGGGTAAGGGTAAATTGATGATATATAATAAAAATAATAAAGTCTGTTCAATTTTTAGATCTGGAAGATCATGAAAATGTAGCAAAACCAAACAAAAATACACATAATTGGGTAAGCTAACTAATATATCTATTCTTATTCTATTCTATATTCCATTCTACAAAAACTATATAATTTACAGTTTAAACAGATCAAGCTTAAACAACGCAAAAACAGAACTAAATCTAAAAGAAAAAGATTTTTACCAACAGCAAACTAAATCAAGACAAATTTTTAATTTCCTTAGACTTCAACTCAACACAAACTTGCAAACACAATTAAATATGAATAGCCGCTAGAAATTTGGGACTTTTTTTTGGGCTGAATAAAGAGCAAAAGTACCAAAGCACTCTTATATTACCCACAACCGCACTGGAAGGCGCTCAGAGCGCATGTGTGGTAAATAAAGAGTGTCCCGCACTCTTGGGATATCCTCCCTTAGCAGCGCTTAGTGCAAAAGTATTTAACTAAAGACAGGGGAATAAAAAAAAAGCAGCTGCGAGAAGTTTAAATAAGATTAACATAATCAGGTAAAAGTTGAATTAAGCTGTAGAGTGCACATAATGAGGGAGTTAAACTTATTTTAAGCATGTAAGTTTGCTGTGAGAGCTCTAAGCACTTGTTGTATTTGTAGTACTACTACTCATTCTATGGCTCTATTCAAGCTGTGTAAAACAAAAATATTCAGGCACTTGAACTAGTTATTTGTATTTGCATTTGCATTGACTCAAGTGTTGTAAGAATCCTCGGCGATACTCAGAAAACAAATGGCAAATGGCAAACGGCAAACGGCAAAAGGAATAAAGCCTAACAGCGAGCAGTGAGCGGCGAGCAGAGTTAAAATAAAAGTGCTTGGGATAGGCCCACTTTTGGCTGGCCTCAAGCATCATCAAGCCAATGCAATTTAAACCAAAACAAACTCAAAATGCCGAGCCACAAGCCACAATTCCTCGCCCCACATTACACACACACACACACACACACACACACACACACATATCAAATTTTACTTTCATTCGGAAAAATTGAGTGAAAACGAACCGTGCGATTCTAACAAACCCGAACGTGGAACGAATAAAAAGTAAATATCCCTGGCAATGCTCAACGCTGGCAATTGCGAACCACCGACTGGCTGTGTGGGGATATTTTGGTGTTCGTGCCAGTTTTGCCAATGGCGCTGCTCAGTTTCGTATTCGTGTCGGAACGTGGCGATACACCGTGCTCAAGGATACGCGGCAAGTGCAACTGCTACATCACACATAGAAGACCTGAAAACACCAGCGACAGTTAAACGCAAAGAGCCAACAATAGCCGAGACTAACTTGTCCATGCTTTGTGTGTGTTTTCCGTGGAGTGCGCGAGTGTTGTTGTTGCCCCAAAATTATCATATTGCAACACGAGAAAAAAAAAACACAACCATAATAAATATCATAAATACAATAAATGAAAAATTAATTATTTATATGTATGCGTAACCATTATTTTGAATGCTGATTGAAAATGTTAAATAGATATTAAATATTGATGCAGCTCGACACAACAATTTTGTTGTTGCTTGTTGCATTCAATTGTAATACTTAAGACCACGCGACGCGACGCGACGCAAAGGAGTGCGAGGAGCACGAGGAGCACGAGGAGCACGAGGAGCACAAGGACCAAGCACCAAGGTCCGGGCCGGCTCGGCTTGGCGTTGAAGTGAGTCCTTGTTTCAGCCGTGCGTGTGGATGACTTTATTAAAATTGTTAATTCACAACGTTGGCAAACAACAAATAAAATAATAATACAATACAAGAAAACAAGAAAAAAAAATAACGAGCGTGTTCAACTTAAAGCATTTTTTGCCCGTTGCTTGTGGACGTTTTTTAAAAATACAACATCAAAATTATATACATATGTATTTCGCCTTGCCCCAAAAATTGTGTGTTTCTTCTTGACGACGTGCAATTTTCCATACATATTTGTTTAATCCATGGTAATGGATATAATTCCTAGCTTAACGCACAACATGCCCGATAAATGAAAAATCTCGTGATTAATAACAAGCATACGCCACGTCTGCCCCACAGTAATTATCATTGTTTATCAAGCGGCTTGGTCTGCATTTAAATCACTTCTTAATGAAGTGTGCATGTAAGTTGCATAATTACTCGTCATTTAGCCATTATGATATTCCCTTACTACAATCCGAATACCAGAAAGTTTATTACCCAATTCAATGTATCAGCAATTTTATTTATATATATATATACGTATATATTTATTTTTATCTCTTTTACTGCTCGTAGCAGCTATTTTAGAAAAATCCTGCTTCCAGGTTGAATTCACTCTGCCATTCAAATATAATATGTGAAATACCCTTTCATAATATTAGATTATATTAATATTAGTTTATTAGCTGCTCTTGTGGAAAAGCGCTCCCTAAGTAAACTACTTATCCATTTACAAATCCAATGTACTCAACTTAGGTGTTTCGTATATAGATTTATTTAACAGACTAAATTGTTTGAAGAGCTCTACTCTTAAAACTGACTGCCTTAGCACACAAGATGGATGATTTTGGAAGGTTCACTAATTATTATTCAGCTCAAATAATATTTTTATTATTATTATTTTTTTTCACATTTTTTATTTGCTTTGAGTAAAGCATTTAAAAGCGTGCGCTTATTTTCAGTTATTGGGCAATTATTTAATGTGCCTGCAAATTGAGCAGGCTGGCGCTCACTTTGGGTGCGCCACTGTGCCACACCCACATAAATGCCCACGCCCAGCTTAATTACTGGAAAATAGCTGTTCAGTTGCTACTGAGTTACATTCCATAGACACACAAAAAGTTTTGCGCTATCGAGTAAATAAAGAAATTCAGAAATCCAGCTGTATTTGCCAATTAAATGGCTGGTGCGCTTTTTGCAAGCAAACAAACTGATAAATATTTATATTTGGCCAATATGCGAATTCGAACAGAGTTCAAATACATGTGCATGTATAGAGTAGACGATTAGTGGTATCTTATAAAATGCGATGAGATAGAGAATTAAGGCTAAATGGAATGCGCTATTAAGCAAATGCACGGAAAATATTACCTCCTTTTGGTAGTTGCAACAGAATTTATACAATTTTTAGTTGCAAGTGAAAAATGTCCGTGTGTGCTGAAGAAACCTGTGCATATACACGAGGCAAAATCAGTTAGCTGTCGGTGCATGCATAAAAGGCTCTTACAACAAGTCAAAGCCATTGCCAAAAAAAAAAAATAAAAATACAGGAAAAATGTTATATCCAAACCCAAAGCTAAGCTCTGCTAGACAGACATTTGGAGTTGAATGTAGAGGCAGATAGGAAGGATTCGAGCCAAACTGGCTTATTTATAAGAGCAGAGGGTAAGTACTTTGGCCACACTCCGTGCGAAGTGGGGGGATGGGCCATGTGGAGCAGGATCATGGGGGCATGAGCACCTATTCACCTTTTTCAGCTGCAGCTGCACGTTTTTATAATATTTATGCATGCGCCTGCCAACTGGACCAGCACTCATAAGCTTCTGGCAGAAAGTCGGCTTAAGCAAAAAAACCTAAAAAAAAAAAGCCAGCAGCAACGCAAGGAAGTATGTGTTGGTAGTGTGTGTGTGTGTGTGTGTATGTGTGTGTGTGGATACAACGTGCTGTGTACGGCGGCTCTTAGTATATTGCCAAAATTACACTCGACACTCAAGTGGAGCATTTTCGGGGGCAATGCATATTCTAGTGGCAAAGCTTAGTAGGCGCATCCAAAAATTACATTTAAAACTATTTTGCTTGGCAGGCAGCTAAATAAATACGTAGGCGGGCAAAAGCAAACATGAAAACCAGATGAGAAGGCTGTATGACGGAGCAGGACTAGCAGGACGAGCTGAACTGGCAGGAGTTGCAGGGAACAGCAACAGATGCCACAACAATTGCCATTTAAATGGACAAAATGAAAACACCAACAAAAGTAGCAACAACAATAACAAGAATAACAACAAGTTGTGCACAAACAAGTGCAGGCACACAGGACATAGGTCCCTGGACACAGGACACAGGACACGGGACACAGGACACGCATGAAAATGAAATCGCTCAGCCATGATATGAGATAGAATAAAATGTAAATGACATAGCCATGTGTGAGCTTCTCGGTGTATGTGTGTGTGTCTTTTTTTCAGCCACTTCTCTATCTACACATACACGCACAAACACAAGCACAAACACAAACCCAAACACACACTAAGCACAACGCAAGTTTATGCAGCTCAACATTTTTGACAGTGTACCGAGGACAGCCCAATCCATACGTACAGTGGGATAAGTTGGCTGAAAAACTGGACCAGCAGCTGCATCTTGCGAAGTGATCCTTTGGCTTGGCATTTTAACTGCTTTCTATTTCTTGGTCGTAAAAAACTTGCTTTTGTACACAATCCCCATGGCCAGGCGTCCTGACTTTCGTCCTCAATTGCATGTTGCAGTGACCGTTTGTTACGCTTATTCCCTATTTGTTGCTTGCGAACAGCTACCCAAATTTATTACAGGCACTGGAGTAACCCAATGCCAAAGTTGCACCAACTTTTCCCCATTCACTTTTTTCTTTCTTTCGAGATTCTCTCTTTCTTTGTTTTTTTTTTGTTGTTTTTTTTTTTTGTTTCTTCTCGTTTGCTTGTCGACCGTTTGTATTTTGGCCTTTTGTCACAAAGCTTTAGCACATAAAAATGTTATTGCCCCGATATGTAGTTGTAGCTTATGCTGATTTGTGTTGACCTACAATTGCTGCACAGGCCAGAGAGAAAACAAAAAAATAAAAACAATCTAAAAAAAAAAATAGAGTACAAAAGGTCGTGAAATGTTATGGTTTTAAGGCTGATTTAGGAGTAGTCCGAATCCCAGACTATGCAAATTCTAAATGGCTACAAAATTGTGATGCACATAAAATTTGTGATTATTCTTTGTGTCGTTCGTGTTAAAAAGTTCGCTTAAGTGAAATTCTTGCTAAAGTTCAAAATTATCAAACAAACGAGAAACATTTCAGCTGAAGCTGCATCATATTTCTTGAATCCCTTAGCTTTGATCTTAGCCAAACAAGCCCTCTTACTAATATGTCTCCGTTCTTTTTATATAACCTTACAGCTTCATAAATTCTTGATTCACACAAAAAATCTGTTTATTTTTGGTTGCTTGTGCTCGAAGGTATTCTTTTCTTATATAATTATGCTGAGTGTTTACATTTTTTGGAGAAATTAAATAAGATTTGTATATTAATATTAAAACAATAGTATATTATTTATTGCCACAACATCTGCAGCTGAAGCTTTAACCTTCGTTTTATAACAACAGCTTTAATGCCTTTGGGATCCATTATGCTGAAAGCCAAAAAATATCCTTCGCCAAGTGGATTCGTTTAGTCGCCCAATTCTCAAACAAATTAAAATCAGACAGCAGGGAAAACATGTATTATTTTTATCAAATATTTAAAGCATGACAAATTTTTATGTTTTTTCTGTATTGACAACATGCTTATTAATTACGTAGCTTTGATCTTACGCAACTGCTCTGTGTAACGACTTTTCATAATTTAATCTCTTAGCCTAAGGCGTGTAACCCTTTTGTATAAAATTAACACGCCTACAATTGGGCTTTAATTGCTGCATCTAATGCTCAACACTTAGTAAGACCGTTCAAAACGCTTTCGACCGTTTTTCCTGCCCATCAGCATTATAGTCAATTTGCCTAATCAAACTGCCCCGAAATAACGGTAACTTTATCAGCACACACACACACACACACACACACACACAGACACACACCTTAAGTTATATACACAGTTTGCGCAAAGTTTTAACTGTTATCTGTTGTCTATCAGCAAATTTGATGCAATTTTGTTTACCTATTTTAATGAGAAGCGAAAAGGCAAAAACGGAGAAAAGAACGAAATGGCGAGAATGAAAACACAGTGGGCCGTAAAAACCGAAACGAAAAACCAGGTCAAAGTAAACAAAATGGAATAGAAGGAAAATTTATGCAAAACTCAAAAACGCACGAGAAGTGCGATTAAAATCAACTGCAAGTGGCTCACATGTATACAATTGTATATATGTATATATATACAGTGTGTGTGTGTGTGTGTGTGTTCAGCGGATGTGTGTGAAAATGGCGTGTGTTGTATTAAATTAAAAAAACACATGAGTAATATAATGAATTCTTTTGTTTGTGTTTGCCGACATTCAAGAGGAGCGAAACAAAAGCAAAACAAAAGAAAACGACTCCAAAAACACCGAAACTGAATATATTTTTAAGAATGAGACGGAATACCGGACACAAATTAAGCATATATGGAAATGAAATGAAGAATGCTGTTGACATTGGGAATATGTACTCGCAACCTGAATTGTAGTGCAAAGTTCAGACTGTGGCCAATAAATTATTAAATGCTCGTCGGTTGCCGGAGAACGGGGCCATGGCATGATTTTGGCTTCTTTCGTTGGTCAGCTAATTGCGCGCCTTTGTGCTGAAATACGCAAAGGGCAATTAAACTTTTGTATTCTGCTGCGAAAGCTCTCATAATTACATAGCACAAAAAAAAAAAAAAAAAAAAAAAAACTTAAGTGAAAAACATGAAGAAAAAATGGGAACGAAAACAGAAAAAACTTAAAAATACACCAAAAGAATTATGATTTGAAGCGTTAATTATGCAGAGTATAAGAGCCGCAAGCATTTCACTTTTGTGGGCGTAACCAAGTTGGCTAAAGCTTATGGAACTGGCTAATGCCAAGCATCTTAGATTCTTGCTCCCACAGCGGAATGCTAATAGCTTAATGCTCATATATTTTAGCAAGACATAAGCTTGCTTTCCGTCTATGGCCCTGGAAGCATTTTCAAATGGCTATCAATAAAACATTGCCTACTTTGTGGGGCGTGCGCCAAGCCCATAACTTTAACTAGACCCACACACACACACACACACATACACATACACATGTCGTGTATTTATATTTAGCTTATTCTCAGCAATTTATGTAGCCACAAATGTGGTGCGGTGTCAGCAGCACCGTCTCAGCCCACTTTGGCCTCAAAATTTGCCGCGCAAATAAAAGTAAAAGCAAATAATGCACACGGCAAACATTTCATTTA